AGTTTCTTCCCCAGCTTGTCAAGATCTCTGCAGAGAAAAAGGAGAGGACCAGCAGCACCAGCTCTATCCAGAGCAGCCCACCCGCATGGGAGGGATGTGAGGGAGCCTTGGACGCTGCTGCAGCTTGCAATAAAAACACAGACTCCAAATTTGGAAGGCAGCTTGGCTTCCAAACACCACCATGAACTGAAAAGCTCACCTCAAAATGAAACCAGCCCCAGCCTTTGGTTCCAAGTTTCCTGTGTATGAACAAACCTGAAGGACGGCTGTATTTGCACACAAAAGGGTTTGGTTTTGGGAGAAAGGCCTCTCTTTTATTTTTTCTTCTTGCAGAAGTAAACACGAGCCCTCCCCATCCTCCATGCCCACAGGCAGGAGCAGCTCAGGACGAAGGCAGGGCAATGTCCCATCTTGTTCCCTGGCTGCTTTCCCTCCTCTCTCTGGCAGCAGTGGCAGCACCACCGCCGCACTGCACTGCCCCCCACCTCGCCCCATCCAACGCAGCACCACCCCACGGGCAGAGGCACTCTGATCTCTCCTACCCAGAAGCTGCTTTTTGGGTCATTTCTTGGACACGGTGCTGGCAATTGCTGAAGGGTTTTCTGGCAGCTCTGCTTTACTCCTGTGGGTGCTGCAATTCTGGAGCAGGGGTGAAGTGTTGGCAGAGGGATGCAGAACCACCATCGCCTGCTGTCTGCCTCCTCCCGGAGCCCTGTGTAGTCCCTGTTCCTTCAGTCTGCGCTGCTCAACTCAGGCTGATGGGAGTTGAGCATCCCCATCCATGGGGCCCTGCAGAGCAACGCGGAGCTCTGATTTGGTGGCCCAGGGACGTGTGCATGGAGGTGACCCTGGGTCTGATCAACCATCGGAAGCTGTGGGTGTCTCAGTTCATCGCAGGGAGTTGGACGTGATGACCGTTAAAGGTCCCTTCGACTCAACCATTCTATGAGTCTAAGACAGGTGTAGGGCAAGGAGGGTCCATGGGACTTGGAGATATTCCAGATGCCATGATGGAAAGCTGCGCCCTGTACAAAGCTCTGGCAAGAGCTATTCTCACTGCTGAGCTGAGCTGCCCTGCCTCAGTTTACCTCTGTGCATGGGGCACACAGAGCTGCTGTGCTGCTGGAGGGGAGGGAGGGCAGCGGCCTGGATGTCGGTGATGGGGTGGCTCACATGAGCAGGGGGTTTGGCATCCAGGCCGCGAAGCCACGCTGCCCTGCCTGTCCCATGGGCGTTGCGGCTGCGGGTCCAGGGCTGCTCCAAGAGTCAGGGTGATCAGCAGGTCTGCTTGGCTGGGAGAGCCTAAAACAACAAACACTGCGGAGTAAGGGAGCGTCTCGCTGCTTTTTCCTGGTCAGATGGTTTCCTGTTTTCTAAGCAGCTCCTCCAGCTCCACTGGGGCAGAGGACTTGTCCACGCAGAGCTCAGCCCCACAGCATGCCCTCACTGGGGAGCCAAGCTGCTGTGTGACTGACACAGAAAGAGCTTCAGGATCAGCGAGAGCTGCGGCAGAGACCTGTAGCAGCAGACTGCATTGCTGCCCTCTGGCTGCATCAGCCCATCCTCTGTGAGCCCTGCAGGGCACAGCAGTGCAGGGAGCTCCTCGGGGGGCAGATCGATGTGCTTTAGGGTGACAGCCAGGCTGGGTGCTGCCACCCAGGGCCGAAGTGTCGGACTGAGGACTTGAACTTTGGGAATTTGTCTCCTTTGCAAGTGCCATTTGTCCCACTGTCTGCATGCGGAGTTTGCCTGTAGGGTGTGCCTACAGGACAGGATCACAGAATCAGAATTGTTTCAGCTGGAGGGAGCCTTTAAAGCCCATCTTGTCCAACTCCCTGCAATCGACAGGCACACCTACACCTCCATTAGGTGCTCAGAGCCCGCTCCAGCACGAACTCCCAGAGGTGATGCACAGCCCCACATCCAGGTGGGTTTGAAGATCTCTGAGGAGGGAGCCCCACGCCTGTCTGGTCCCTGCGCAGTGCTCTATCACCTGCACAGGTAGAGCGGCCCCAGCTCTCTCAGCCTCTCCTCACATCAGAGATGTGTTGTCCTTTGTCCGTTGACCACCTTGGTGGCCCTCCACTGGGCCCTTTCCAATGCACCCAAGTTCTGGGGGTCCCAGCACTCCAAGTGCAGCCTCACCAATGCTGGCCTACTCATACTCTGACACGTTAAAAGAGAGCAGGAGAACAGAGTGCAAAGATCTGGAAAACGTGGCCTTAATTCAAAGATCCATTGGGACCCAGCTGCTCAGCTTGCCCAAGAAAAGAGGAAGAGGCGCTGGGGCGAGTTGTGCAACCATGTGCGCGGAGGGAAGGACACGTCAGCAGCTGAGAGCTGGAGGAGCCGCGCTCTGGGGTCACCTGCACCCGATGGCACTGGTTTGCTGGGCAGCCCCTCAAGCCCATCTGCTGCAGGCAAATCCCCTCTGCTCTGAGCCACACCGGATCCACAGCTCTGACCCGCGGGGCTCGATGGTGCCCTCAGAGTCACACACGCTGTTTTTCATCCAGGTTCAGAAGCTGAACCCCCATGGGCTGCCAAAGTCAGCATCTGCTTGGCTCGCTGCATCTCTCACCACCGGACGTTGGCTATTTTTAACTGGCCCTGCTTTGCTTTTTTGTCTCCTGCTGTTACCGTGGGGCTGGAGGGGCTCTGTGTGCTCCTTGTGAGCAGCTCGCTGCCGACCCCAGGCCAGAGAGATGTGTAGAAAGCCAGCACTGCTCCCCCAGCCCAGCAGAGCGTGGGTGCAGCAAAATGGAAGTGGCTGCTTCTAACCGCTTCCTTTCTCTGCGGGTCTCTCTCTCCCTTCTGCCCCTCCTGACAACTTCGTTTCCTGTTATTGATAACAGCCTCTGCACCCGCCGAGGGGTCACCGTGCTCTGTGCCCTGAAGGCTGCAGGTGCCCATGTCCCAACACCACAGCTGGGAATAAAGCAACCCCACAGCAGGAGAACTCCTCTCCAGGGGCTGCCCTGTGCCCACGCAGCCCTGTTACCCCCGCCGGCTCCGGCTGTGTCGCTGCCAGCCCCACGCACACGGGGCTGATGGTCACTGCTTCATCTCTGCTCTCCTCGGCAAATCTGAGGGCAGCTCGGCTTGTTCGCAAGAGATCTAGGAAAAAAAAGTAGTTCTGTTAGGAAGGAAAAACAAACAGCGAAGAAGAAATCCATGCAGAAAGCCGTCCTCTTGCTTCTCCTTGAGGAGAGAAGCAGTAGTGCCGGGTTGGCAAGTTCAGCTGCAGATACCTTAAAAAAATTAAACAGCACTTCCAGACAGAGCCGGGCAGCGGCAGGAGCAAAGCCCGCACCGGCAGGCTGCGTCCCTGCAAGCGGTGGGAAGGTCACACACCGCTCCCAGCCCTCCGTCCAGCAACAGCACCGCGCAGGGGACGTGTGGGGGTCCGGGCTGGGAGCGGAGCGGCACCGGGAGCTCCGTGCGTGCAGCGGGGCCGCCTGTACGGCTCCGAGAGCCTGGGGCCGTCCTCGGGAATCGCTCACGCAGAGGAAGCTGCTCCGGGAAAAGCGATCAGCAGAGCGCTCGGCTGAGCTGCCGGCTGCTGTCCCTGCGACGCTGAGCCCCCCGATGCCGCGCCGCGCCCGGGCTGCTCGCACCTCCTGCGCTGGCTCTGCGGGATGCTCGGGGTGACGGCACAGCGAACCACGCACCTGCTGGGAGCTGAGCAGCCCTGCCAACGGAGGCTGCTGGATGCTGAGGCGGCCGCTTCACCTTCGTACTCATGAGGGACGTTTTGGCAGAAAGGAGATGGGAACATTTCCAAAAGCCTGCAGGACATCCTGAGCTCCAAACTGTGTCAGCAGGAGCCCCGCGTGAGCACCAGACCCAAAGATGGTGGAGGCCTGGTGAGAGCAGAGCGTGCTGCGGTGGGTGACCCCGGGGGAGCGCGGCTGTGGGGCACCATCAGAACTTTGGGTGCTGGAGCAGTGACTGCACAGTGACCCACGGTGGTGACTTTGGGGCCATGGTGCTGCTCAGAGAGGGGTTGGGGGCTGGGGGAAGGATTTGTGCTCAGGTTTGGGGGGCAGAGAAGGGAAAAGAGAGTGCAGCTATCCAGAGAGGACCCTGACCCGAACCCTGACCAGAACTCATCCTGGCACACTGGGAACCTCACCAGAGGTGGTGATGTGGTAGCAGCTTCATCCCTTTCCTTTGGGACTGTTCTTTTATCAGTAGACCCCATCACCATTCCTCATCACAGCTCTAGGCTTCATCCCCAGCTCCTGGAAGCAAACACCCCTTTACACCCCTGGCCTTAATCTGTGTTTGCTGTGTGACAGCAGGATCTCAAGAACCCTTGGTGAGTGCTGTGGTTTTGCACCAGAGCAGGAGTGAAGGAGAATGTCAGAACGGTGTGAAGTGTTACCCACATTGCTCACTGCTGTGTACTGAGGATGCGGTGAGGATGGCAAGCTCCAGGAATAGGGGCAGGAGTGAGTCCGGAGATGGGCATGCAGCAGGGTTCCTGTGTGAGGCAGGGAGGAAGGATGGGACAAGGCACAGCTGTGACCCCATGGGGCCCACTGCATCCTCTGTCCTCCATCCTCCATCCTCCATCCTCCATCCCACCCACCCCTCCTGCAGGTCACCCAGCCCCAGCAGCTCCTTCCTGTAGAACTGGTGGCTGCCCCATGCTCTGACATGGGAGGATGGAGGGCAGGAGGGAAGGGCAGAGCTGTTCCTTGTCCACGTTGGGCTGCCCTTAGGCCTCTCCAGCTGAGTTCTTTCACTCTGCATAATGCTGGGTCAGTTCCTCAGTCTGTCGCCACGCCTGCAGAGGCTGCTGGGATCCCATCACCTGCTCATGAGACACAGATGGTGGTGGTCCTTGTGTGCTGCACCAAGCAATGGGACTGGGCAGCTCCAATCCCCTGGCTGCGGAGTGGCATTGGGGCCACTGCATCCCAGAGCAGGGGGAGAAGCAGGGGATGCTGCAGGGTGGGGGCAGGAGAGGAAGGAAGCGGGGCGTGCGGTGTCTGTGCACGGAGCCGGGGCAGCGACAAACAGGAAGAGCAACAGGGACACGGTGGGAGGCAGTGAGCATCGACGGGCATCGCAGCAGGATGTGCAGCGCCCCAAGGGCAGCCCCTGCGGTACCTGAGCTGCTGCCTCAGTAAAACGCCCCCCAGACGTTCCCTGACCCGCAGACAGGGGTGCGATGGCACCCGCGTGGCTGCTGAGCACGATGATATGGGAACAAAGCGGCATTTCGCTCCCTTTGGGTGGGTGCGGTGTGGGATGGGGGATGCGGTGAGGCGGCAATGGTCGGGGCCGCGCCGCGGCTCCCCGTGGGGCGGGTGGGGGGTCACCGCGTGCCAAGAGGACGCACTGAAACCCACCGTGCAGCTCCCTCCCGTCTCTCCACGTTGGGCCGCAGATGGGCACGGAGGGCCCCGAGCTGCGATGCCCTCGGAGGAGCGCCGGGATCGGGGGGCAGCAGCGCCGTGCCCACACGAGGGGGCTTTGGTGGGGAGCGGGGCCGCGGGCTGCCGTTAGAGCCGAGCTGCGGCGATGTGGCCGGTATGCGTGTGGGCGGCAGGCAGGGTGGGGGAGAAGGAGGGAGAGGAAGCGGCAGAGGCAACAGCTCCTTTGATAAGCAGCTTCCTGAACACTTTCAAAGCCCCGGGTTCAGACCGACGTGCACAGCGCCCGCGGCCCCGTGCAGGGACGGACGGAGCCCACACCTCAGGGCGGTAGGTAAGGCACCCCCGGGCTGCGGGCACGGCCGCGAGGGTCCCTTTGGAGAGGACAGCCCCGCAGCAGCGGCAGGCCTCGGCACATGTGCTCGCTGCAGGCAGTGCAGGTGCCCCCGCAGGGATGCTGGCAGGGAGGCGGGATGTGGGGATGTGGGATGCTCCTGGGGCAGATGCCGGGAGCAGAAGCTCATCCCAGGGTCCTCTGTGCGCCTTCAGCTCGGCTGGGGCCTCTCCCAAGTGTTTCCTGGGTGATGCTGGGCTCCCAGCCCGCCTCTCCCGGCTATGAGCGGTGCCTGGGCGCTGAGAACAATTGTGGGATTAGCCAGGATTGACCCTGAGTGCTTCATCTCATGCCCCGCTGTGTTCCCACCCTGCACGGCCACGGCCATACTGTGACCCTCCCTGCTCCAGCCCCGGCTTTGTCTGTGCCCAGTTCTCTGCAGGGATGTCCCTGAGCCTGTGGGCCATTCGGTACCCTGCTCTGTGCCTGTTGAGAGCTCTGACCCTGCAGCATCCCCATCCCACTGGGTCCATCTCTCCTCGCAGAGGAAGCTGGGGAGGAGAAGGAGCTTTGCCACCCTGAGCTGCTGCCCGCACCATGGGGACGTCTGCCCAAAGAAGAACCAGCATCACCCACATCTCCCTGCCAGGGGCTGCTCGGGGCTGCTGGTGGTGGAGCCTTGGCAGCCTCCTCCATCCAGACCACCCCATCACCTCTTGCTCAACCATTCAGATAGAGCAGTTTCCTCTTGACAGTTGCTGATACTTGTGGGATGGAGGAAGCTGTCCCAGGGCCGTTCCCCCCACCCCAGTATGTCCAAACAACAGGAACTGGCCATGACCCTCACAGCATCCTCCTCTGCTCCTCATCCCTGGGGGCTGCTGCCCTCCACGTTAAGCTCACGAGCTTCCATCCCACCCCATCCAAGCCACAGATCCTTCCTCCTGGTGGGTGCTACAGGCGCTCTCTCCATGCCACCTGTGGATGCTGGAGCCCTGATGCCACGGCAACGAGGACCCGAAACACCTCCTCTGCTTAGGGATGTTCTCATCCTGGTCCAGCAAGGGGTTCATCAGCCTCCTTGTGTCTCTCTCATCTGCCCTGTGTTTTCCAGCCGCTTCTCCTCTGATGGCAACTCCTTCCCTCGGGAGCTGAGGCCCCCCCACTCCCACTCCTCGTGCTTCAGGGCGAGCGCTTCGTGGCTGCCGCAGCATGGTCCAAGCCTGCTCAGTGTGCCACAGAGCTCATAACAGCAGCCTGACAGCCCGGGTGGCCACCAAAGCCATGGACAAGGCAGACAAGCCCAGTCCCTCCACAAAGAAGCACGTGCGGCTCCAAGAGAGGTGAGCGTGGCCAGGCTGGGCAATGCCCACAGCCCAGGCTTTGCACTGCCCAGCCCCAAAGCGCTGTCTGCCAAACTGTGCCCAACTGTGCTCCGCTGGGCCACGAATTGTCGGGGGTCACCGGGGACCCTTTGCCTCCTTTGCAGGAGGGGCTCCAACGTGTCGCTGGTGCTGGACATGAGCTCGCTGGGCAGCGTGGAGCCCATCCAGCCCGTATGCACCCCGCGGGACGTCACGCTGCAGTTCCTGAGGACATCCAGCCACGTGCTGAGGACGGAGGAGCTTCAGCAGCGCGCCCAGAGCCTGGCACAGCTCCAGGAGGAGTTCTCGGTATGAGGGTGGGCGTGCAGGTGGAGGGGCACTGCGCATCTCCTGTTTGCCCGCTCCTTGCTCTCCCCTGTGCCTGTGGGAAGCCTTCCTGTGCCAAGCTCCGCTCCCATCTGTGAGCTGTCCCACCCCATTGGGGTGTAGATGGAGCTCATGCCAGCTCTGGCGATGCTGGGTCAGCATCTCACTGCCTGCGGGGCCATCTGTGCCCGATGAGGGGACGCAAGCAGCACCAAGAGGGGTTCCTCAAAGTTGTTCTCCCCTGCTGCAGAAAATCCCTCCCAACTTCATCAGTCCGGAGGAGCTGGAGATCCCTGGCCGTGCCTCCAAGGACAGATACAAAACCATCCTCCCCAGTACGTGCTGCTGCATCCCTTTGTCTCACGTTCCCCCACGTGCGGGGAGATGTGTGTGCTGTGGGTGTCCCCCCTGCGTCCCGGTGTCCCTGCTGTGCTGGTTCTGCTGCTGGCAGCCGCCTTGCAGAGGTGTGAGCCCAGCAATGGGGCGGTTTGTGGGGAGCTTCTTGGGGCATGCAGCGCATCGCAGCCCGGCCTGGGCCGCTCCTGTGCCATGCAGCTTTAAGCATCCAAAGCGGGGGGTGTAAAGGCTGAGGAATCGTTCGGGTCGTCTTCATGTGCTGTGGGAAGGCTGTGGGGGGTTGGTGCTGGGCAGGTCTGAGTGTGGCATGGAGCTGGGTGGGAGTGCACAGATCTGAAGGACAGTGCCAGGGTGCCTCTCACTGCGTCTTGCAGACCCCGAGAGCCGGGTGTGCCTCAGGAGAGCAGGGAGCCAGGAGGAAGACGGCTACATCAATGCCAACTACATCACGGTGAGCACGGCCTGCCTGGGGCACTCGGTGTCCACATCTCCTGGTGCTGCAGGGCTGGGGGTGCCGCAGCTCTGGGGTTCTGCCCACATGAGGGAATGGGCCGTCACATAGGCTGTGGGATACGGCTGTGGGATAAGCTGGTTTACATTTAACAGTGAGATTTTGGGGTGAGCAGAGCATTTGGACACGCTCCCTCCCAGATGCTTCTCCATCTGCATGCACTGGTCTGTTGTTAAGCGCAGGAAGCAAGCTGTGCCAACTGGGCATCCCAGCCTGGTATCGAAACATCCAGGAACTGCCTCTCCCCTCAAAGGGTTTGTTTAAATTGCCCAAAAGGAAAAAGGGGTGACTGTGGCTTGTCTCCAGCATCCGATGGGGTCCCCAGACAGTTATCTCCAGACTCAAGGTGACCGTTGTTGTCATCACAGCAACAACCTGGGGATGCTTGGATGGAGTGTGCAGGGCTTCCTCCATAGGCTTGCTCCTGGTTTGCTGGGCTAGGAGGATGGGGAGGACTCCTGTCTGGGTCTGTCAAAGGATTTCAGGGGCAAGTTTGGGAGGAAATAGGCAGTGTAGGTCAGGCTCTCTGCTGCAGAGGACAGGTAGAGCAGGGGGCTGAGGTGCAGACCAGGTGCCCGCTGTCTCTGAAGGGCCGTGTGCTCAGCAGGGCTATGCAGGACGTCCCCGGGAGTACATTGCCACCCAGGGGCCCATGCTGAACACCGTGACTGATTTCTGGGAGATGGTGTGGCAGGAGGAAGCACCCATCATCGTCATGATAACCAAGCTCCAGGAGCGCAAGGAGGTACCGCTGTCCCTGCTCCACAGCACCCTGACCTGGAGGGTTGGGGAGGGAAAACCCCCAGGGGCTGAAAACCACATGGCAGAGTGTGGGCAAAGTGTTCAGGGGAGCAGGTGTTGGAACTGGGATCCATCCTTCCTTACCTTCCCTTTCTATCAGCCCACATCCCCCTTCCTCACTCTTCCAAATCTCCCAAAAGCAATGACCAAAGGGCAGCTTAGACCCCAGTGGATGCCCAAAGCACAAACACTGCATTCTTCCTGCAGAAATGTGTCCACTACTGGCCTGAGAAGGAGGGCACCTACGGCCCCTTCACCATCCGTGTGCAGGGCATTAGCGAGTGTGCAGAGTACGTGGTCCGCAGTCTCTCCATCCAGGTGGGTCCAAGCCCCATCCAGGGGTCAGCAGGGGCTCAGCACCTGGCGGGGTTCTAAAATGCATGGGCTCTGTAGGAGGAGGGATCTGCAGAGCTCTGTCTGCCCTGTGAGGTTTGCAGGATGAGCCTTGGGTGGGGACAGAGGGCTGTCAGCATGGAGATTGAGGAGGGATCCTGGGCATGACTGGAACTCTCCCTGGCAGATCACTTGGACACCCTAAAGTGGCCCTGGCTCCTTGTTCTCTGGCAGAGGCTCAATGAGTCAGGAGGAGAGCAGATGAGATGGGCACAGGATGGGAACATCTCAATCTGACCCCACCTGATCCTTATTTCTCTTTCTTCTGCGCTGCAAAAGCTGGAAGGTGAATGCCGCCACGTCAAACACATCCTCTTCCCTTCCTGGCCAGACCAGCAGACACCTGAGTCAGCCAAGCCCCTGCTGCACTTGGTGTCCAAAGTGGAGGAGATTCTGCAGGCTGCAGCCAGCCCAGGGCCCATCGTTGTGCACTGCAGGTAAGTGCTCAGCCCTCAGCCCTGCCCCTCAGCTTGGGCTCACACCCACAAGCCATTCTCTAGGACGCCCTAGCAGGTGTCCTCCAGCAGAGGACAGGGGCACAGACTGGTTTCATGCTTCCAGAGTGGTTCTGGGTGGGCTGGGCATGATAGCAAGGACCACTTGTGGCAGAATGGGGCCAGCCTGAGAAAGCTGGGACTGGGACCACTGCATCCCGACAGGGATGGATCAGGGTAGCAAAGCAGCCAAGGAGCACACCCAGCTCAGACAGCCTGAGGCCCAGGCACTGTGGGCGCTCAGCACAGCTGTGTCCATCTGCAGCGCAGGCATCGGTCGGACGGGCTGCTTCATTGCTACCAGGATTGGGTGCCAGCAGCTGAAAGACAAGGGAGATGTGGACATCCTGGGAATCGTGTGCCGCCTGCGCATTGACAGGTTGGTGCTCGGGAAGGAGTCCCTGGAGGATGTGCTGGATGCAGGAGGGGTGAGGGAGGGTGCAGGGATGAGCATCCCAAGGAGGCGTGGAGGTGATTTGTGGTGGAAAATGGAAGGGTTTCTGAAAGATGGAGATGTGGGGACAGCAAAGGATTGTCCAGTGCTTGGTTTGGGGTTGGTTTTGCTGTCAGGGTTTTTTAGCCCTGAGAACCTGAAGGCATGAAGGAGAGCAGCCCCAAAGCCATCAGCTGGTGCGCTCCTTCCAGCTCAGCCGCTGACCTACAAAACGTGCCCAGACACTCTTGGAGGAGCTCTGGTGCATGTAGATGGGGTGGGGGCACAGGAATGTCTGTGCCATGGGAGCAGGGCTGGGGTTTTGGTGTCTGCATTTCCCTTGCAGAGGCGGGATGATCCAGACCAGTGAGCAGTACCAGTTTCTCCATCACACACTAGCCCTGTATGCTTCCCAGCTGCCAGAAGCAGGGGGCCGTTAGCACCGGGCTCCACCATCGCTGCCTCGCTCTGAACCCCCCCAGTGCCAAACCTGGGGACAACTCTGCTGAATCTGCTCCTGCTGCACCGGCCATGAGCCTGAGCCTCCCACAGGCTGAGCAGAGCCATCGGGATTGTGGCCCCACAAGCAGGGTTTGGGGTTTCACAAGGCATGCGGCAGGACGCACCGTGCAGAAGAGCAAGCTGCACACAGGGACTGATGCTGAGCGACCTGCCTGCTAGAAATAAACAGAGCTTCTCCTCCAGCTGCACATCATCTGCGGGCAGAAGTTGGGACACGCAGGGCTCACTCCTTTGCACACACTTCGATGCTCTTCTTGCTAAAGACACGCCTGGAGCTCTTAGTCCAAAGCTGCACTGCTGGTTGCCCTCGTTACATGGCCTGCTTTCCTCTCTGCCTTCTGCCATTGCCTTCCCACCTGCCTTAAAGTAGGGGATACTCCTAAGTGTGTCTGCACTTTTGCAAGCACTCTGCTCCGAATTGTAACCCAGCCTCATTACACGAGGGGGGTGTTTGTGTTCTTGGGTTGTGGTTTTTTTTGTTGGAATCAGAGCAAAATAATACACCCGTTTTGTTTCTTTTTCACTGTGTAAATAGAAAAGTTTCATCTTTAATTCTGCAGTTCTCCTGTCTTGTCAGCAGCCCAGGAAGAGAGGGAACCTCTCTGTGTGCCCCCCAGTATCTGCATCCTCTCCTTGCGGTTCCTACATTTTCAGGGAATGGAGCAGTGGCCATGAGCTCTGCAGCAGAGCAGACCAGCCAAGGCCTTTCCTCGCGCTCCCAGCAGGACGTGCAACGCGTCTCGTGCTCCCAGATGCATATCAAGAGGAGAGCTGCCAGGGCAGGAGCTGCACAGAAGTTCTCCCAAGACAGGCAGAGACCCGTGGCTGGGGGGAGTTGTGACCCCTCTCAGATTTCCTATCGGGGCTGGGAGTTTTGCCAGATGAGCTCTGTGATGCTGATCACAATCGGTTCAGCAGTTTTCCTGTCTTTCGATCTCAATTTCTACCCAATCTGTTCAAGGCATTTATCAGCCATTACCACAGCACTATCATCTGGGTATCTCTCAATCCTCCCTGTATTTATTCCCCAAGCACTTCTCGGGGCCATGCTGAGCTATTGCTGTGTTATTGCAAAACACCATCCCATGGCTCCTGCAATGTCAGGGGCAAAGTCAGGTGTTCTGTCTGTTCTGGCTGTATCAGGGTATGTCCTGGGAAACTGTGATGTGCCCAGCATGCAAAGGAAAGGAATCACTCCAAAATCCCACACTGAAAGGACGTCATGTTCCCCTGTGTCCTGGGCTGATATCAATTCCCTGAGCTTGGGCAAACAAGTTTCCCATCAGCATCTGTGTGGACTCCAAGCAGTCCACGGCCATGGCCCAGGAAGGAGAAATGCTGAGGCACACTGACACTCCGAGGGAGCTCAGGGAGCTCACAGAGGCCCTGCAGTCTCCCCAGCAGGTCCAGCAGTGGTGGCACCCATAGAGGATGAGGTGCACCAGCATCATTTCTCAGCACCAGAGGGACAGGTTGACCTGGTGGTTGGGAGCACTGGGGACACAGAGGGGTGTGGGAGTGGTATCTATCGCTGCTGCTCTGGTTACACAGTTAAAGAGTGGGATGGGGAACATGGAGAATAAGCCACCCATTACCATCCATGACCCCACCTTATGGCCGGCCAGTGCAAGAAAAGGATCTTTTTTGCTCATTTGCTCATTGCCCTGGTGTGGGGATGGCCTCGCCAGGTCCCCCTCTGCTGTGTTTTGTGTGAATGCTGCATTGCTGGAGTTCCTCTGGCAGGGACTGCAGAACAACGCGTGCGATCAGGAGGCAATCTGAGCATCAGCGCTGCGGGCGCTTCGGGTGGGAAGCCCCAAACTGGTGCAGGGACATTCTCTGGGCTGAAATCTGTTACTAAACATCTTCAGGAAGAAATTGCACACAAGAACTGGGAGACACTGAATTTTTCACCGGTATGAGCAAACGCTACATGAGAGCAATGACACAAAGTAGCGAGATTGCTGCTTCTTTAGGGCCCCCCTTCGAAAGCGTGGGGATCTTCAGCAGCCTGCAGCAGCTCTGAAAACAAAATGGTTTCTGTGTCTGAAAAACAAGGCAGCTTCCCAGCGACTCACAGCACATGATGGAAACCACTTCCCACCCTGAATCGCAGGCTCCGAGACACCCACGGCAGATCCAATGACAGCTCAGCTTTTATTTTCCGTGTGCCCATTTCTCGGGCAGCCCTGCAGCACAGGGAGCTGCAGCTTCGTCCCGTGGGAGCGCGAGCAGCCGCCTGGGCAGCGGGCGCTCCGCAGCCGAGATGAGGGCTCTGCCTGCTGTCCGCACCGCCGGGAGCACGGAGCAGCCGTGCCAGCTGTCGGTGTTTGCGACATCATGGAGTCACAGAACGGTTTGAGTCGGAAGGGGCCCTCAGAGGCCCTCTGGTCCCACTCCCTGCCGAGCACGGGGACACCCCCGGCCCCAGCAGCGCTCACAGCCCTGCCCTGCCCTCGGGGGGCTGCGGGGACGGGGCAGCGCCGCCTCTCTGTGACCGATCGAAATCCTGCTCTTTTCCTCTGAAGCCACCTCCCCTCGCCCACCGCACAGACCCCGCTATGGACTCCGTCCCCTTTCAGCCCCTTCGGATCGCTGCTCCCAGCAGGCTGTGAGATGACCTTCCATAAGGACGCCCTGAGAGTCGTGCCGCGGGTTGCAGCTTCCTGCACGAGGAGAGGCGCTGTGACGCGGAGCAGAGCCCCGGGATCACAGACACGAGGACGTTCCGAGTCCCGCTCCACCCCCGGCCGGCCTCCACGTTCCCCATTGTGCCCCTCCCAGCAGGGGGCGCGCTGACACGCGGTGCAGCCGCCGGGCACGGCGTCGCCTGGCCGCGTCACCGAGCCCGGGCCGCGCCGTGCAGGCCGCGCCTCCCGTCCTCCCGGCCGGCAGGGGGCGCTGCGAGCGGCGGCGAGCGGCGCGGGCCCCACCCGGCGCGGCGCGGTGCGGCAGGAGGCGCGCGGACAATACCGGGGCGGCGGCGCGGCGCGGCCCGGCGGTGCGGCGGGGTTCGGCGCGGCCCGGCCCGGTTCCACCCGCTTCGGCCCGGCTCTGCTAGGGCTCGGCTCGCCTCCGCCCGGCTGCGCACGGTTCGGCCCGGCGGGGCTCGGCGCGGCAGCATGCTGGCCCTTTTCAACAAGCTGCTGGACTGGTTCCGGGCGCTGTTCTGGAAGGAGGAGATGGAGCTGACCCTGGTGGGGCTGCAGTACTCGGGCAAGACCACGTTCGTCAACGTCATCGCGGTGAGTCCGCGCCCCGCATCGCCCCGCACCTACGGCCGTCGGGGCCGGGCCTCCCCCCCGCACCCGGGCGGCCCCGGCCCGGCGCGCTCTCTGCGGGAGCCCCGGCGCCGCCCTCGGTTCCGCCCCGGGCCGCCGCTCCGTCACGGTCCGGTCCGAGGCCCGGCCGTCGCTCCGCCCGCTGCCGCCGGGGTTCGGCCCCGCGAGGCCCGTTTGTCTCGCGCTTCCGTCCGTGACGGCAGAGCGGATTTCGCTCTCCGTGGGGCCGCGATGAGCTCCGCTCCCGAGGCGCGGCTCCGGCGCCCGGCTGGGGCTGCAGCCCGGCCGCCGCGTCCCCCGCTGGGTTCGTCCCGCCCCGCCCGTCATCCCGCGCCGCGCGGCCCCGCAGCCCGAATCCCGCCGGCTGTGCTCGCAGAGCCGCCCCGCAAAGCCCCTTTTGCCCCCCGCGTTCGGGCCGTTTTTGGGTTCTCCCCGCCGTCTCCAGACGCGGTGCGGTGCGATGCGATGGGAGCCGCCCGCGGTGCGTCCCGAAGGTTTGGGGCTGGGCTCTCGGGAATCTCAGGGCTTCATTGGGGTCTGTCTGTCTGTCCCAGTTCCCGGCTGTGGCCCCGTTGCACGCGCTATCCTTGCTCCTCGGCTCTGAAGCGAAGCCGCTGTGAGAAGCTGCTGTGCTGTCAAAGGTGGTTTTGCAGCTAATTTGGAAGCTTCAGTGCACTGCAGCTGTGTTCTGTGGGTGGGTTTCCGTTGGTTGGGCATGGCAGGAATGGAAACCAGCCTTCCCAAAACCAGCCTTCCCACAGAACCGATGTCACGGTGCTGCACCTCCTTGCTCCGAGCCCTGAGATGCAGCTCTGGGTGTTCCCAAGCTCATTGCTGGCAGCTGCTGCATGCACTCAGCACACAGCCTGGTGCTCCCACCCCCCTCTGTGAGCAGTGGCTGACAGGGAGCTCCGTGCCTGCTCTGTCTGTAAGGCCTTCCAGGGCCCACGTTGTCCCTGCCGTTCAGTGCTCTGCTTTGCAGTCTCATGTCGGGGTGGGACACAGCAGTGCCATGTGTGGGCTGGTCCTGCTGCTGCTTCTCTGTTAGTAGCAACAGAGGCTGAGTTAAGAAAAATCCAGCAGAAAATAATTTCTTCCCTCTTGAAGTGGAGCTTTACTCCAAACCTGCTGAGCTGTTTTGTCGGTGTGTGCCTGGAAATAGCGGGGAAACCCCCCACCTTCTTGCTTTTCCAAAAGCCCTGTCCCCGTGTCCCTTCCTCCCCAGCCATGCCTGATGGCTTCTGGGGTTTCCAGTTCTACACGTGAATGGCTCACATGTGACAGTTTTGCAGCATACAGGACTCCAGCGCAAGGCTCAGAGGCTCATCCCACTTCGCCACTGTGGCTGCTGTAGGGAACTGGGACGTCTGGTTATTCTGGCAGCTCTTGAGGGAGGTTCCAGTGCTTGGGCTAAAGCTGGCTGCCTGTTCTGCTGGTGTTCAGCAGCTGGTGATGGGGTGTGCAGCACCTTGCAGTCACTTTGGCTCTGGTTATTGGGCAAGGTGCTCAGGCTCTGCAGGTGGGCCTCCTGTCTGTGAAGTTATTTGGACAGTTCAGATTTTCTTTGGCAGACACACGCTGAAAACAAACAGAGATCTTTGAGGTAATGTCCTGCAAATGTGAACTTGCCAGAGACAACTGGAAAAAAACCAAGATGCCAAAAAATCCCAACCCAACAGGATCTGCGTGAGGAGCATTTGAAGCATCTCATCTGTCTTTAAGGTGTCGGAACAGAAGCGTTAGGAGAAGTGGCTGTGATTCAGGCTTCTGGGTGAAAGATAAAACAACTGAACTCTTGAAAAGCATCTGATTTCAGCACTGATGCAGAGATTCTCCAAGAAATCTGTGGGCCCAGATGACATTCTACAGTCTGAAGATTTGTGCTAGCGCTGGGGCTCATGGAGGCTTTGCATCTTCCAGCATTTTGCGCTGCTGTTCTTCACCTGGCTACAGAAATGGAAGTCAGGTGCTTAGAAGATGGGCTGGCTGCCCGCAGAGCTGCAGCCCTGCTGCTGCCGTGCCAGGGGAGGGCTTTGCTGCAGGTGGCCACGGTCAGCCAAAGGCAAAGGGCTCTGCTGGTGTGTCACCTGGCTGATGTTCCTTGTCCTTGAGTTCCCCCAGAGCATAACCTAAGCTTTAGGTGCAGCAAAGAGCTGTGTTGTAATTTTTTTTTTTTTTTTTTTTTGAATGAAAGAGCACAAACTTAAAAGGAAGCCTCAGTGAGAATGTAAACATCACTGGGTGCAAATGGGTGTGAAGATAAAAGGGCAG